TGCCTGGCCTGGGCTTCCGCGCCAGCAGCTCCATAAAAAGCCACTGCGGGGAAAACAAACAGGCGACCCCAGAACAAAAGCCCCAACCCTTCCGTACTAGCGCTGGAGGGAAAAGAGCTGCTCGGCTTGCGCCGGTAAAAGGGGTTGCAGCAGACAAAGCGATCGCCTTGATCCTGCCGGCGCGCTGGCAGCGCGGCCGTGCGTAACCCCGTGCCATTAACTGTCCTGTTTGCAGACCAGAACCCGGCAGTAGAGGAGGCGGAGGATGACCGTGATAAACCGAAGCTGCTGGATGAGAAGGAGGAGATGGAGCAGCCACAAATCAAGGTGCCCATGGAGGTACCCAAGAGAGAGGAGGAGAGAGGAAAGCCGGAGGAGAAAGTGCAGCTTGACCGTCCCGATCAAGGTAACGAGGAACCTGGGGAAAGGGTGTCGGCTTTGGAGCCGGGAGGCATATGTTGCAGGATTATTTCAGATACAGATCCTGATCTCTGCTCGTTACCTTGTGGACTGAAGGTGATACAGCGTTTGATGCTCTCGAGGCACGTTAGGCATGCAGCCTCCTGATGAGAAAGGAAAGGCAGGGCTGAAAAAGGGCAGCAGGTAGCCGGGTGCTGGGTGTGCTGTGGACCTGCTGCCCGTTACTTTTTCCCATCAGCCTGGAGCCCCCTAACCCTGTCTGTCGTCTGCCCTAGGGATCGCCCTGCCCGTGGGGGAAGCGCATCGCCACGAGCCACCCGTCCCGCACGATGAAGTGGTCGTGGACATGGGGCGAGAGCGGGAGGAATCCGATGAGAACAAGCTTGCACCCGGAGGAGCCAACGGTCGTCTGCTCAAGCCTGCGCTGGAGGAGCCAGTCATGCCGAATCCCCAGAAAGAGGCACTTGGCCCAAAACAAGGGAAGGAAGCGATTGCTGAGAACCGACTGCGGGGAGGGACTGACGAACCCGTTAAGAATCCAAAGAACGTCCTGGAGGTGATTGTGCAGCAGGATGGCAGGCTGCCATACAAAGAGCTGGAGCCAGACAAACAAGTGCTGGAAGCCAAGGCACAAGCTGCTGTGCCGGACGGCGAGAAGAAAGCTGAGGCTGCAGGTGACAGGGAGAAATCAAAGCTCCAGCTCCCCAGGAAAGCAGAGGAGGCTGCGAAGTCCGTGGAGAAAGAAGGTGACCCTGGTAAGCTCCCTTGGCGGTGGCTCATCTGAACAAACGCTCCTCTTGGCCTGTAATCCGCCCTGGCAACTGGGAAATTTGGTTATTCCTACCTACATCCCAGTGTTTCCTTTTAATTCACGAGATTAGCATGTGAGCGTGCACAGTCCCTTCAGCAGCTGTTGGGGAAAAGGAGGAATCTGGTGGCTTTGACAGCTACTATAATATCTGTCAAACAGTTGTTTGCTAGCCTACTAAATGTCAGGTGCCATGCTGTTCCTGTGCGTCTCCGAACTCACTGGGGACACGGAGCCGGGAGATCTTGACAGGTAACACATTGCTAAGTGCCCGTCTAAAAGCTAGTTAGAACCGTTCTTGCATTTTAATTGGCTGAGGTAGTTAGCGCTGGCTTGCTGCCATGAGTCTATAAGATTGTTAAATATTTTTTTTTATTACTTCCCTTGCAGTCATCGGGTTGAATATAAACTGTGCTGGCTTAGGCAGGGAGGGACAACACGATGTGGAGTCATTTTAGAGAACATCTGCTGCCGGAGCGTCCTTATTGACTGCAAAGTTCTGTTGATCCTTGGTCCGCAGGTGAAAAGCAGGAGCTGGCCCTGCCGGACAGAGCGGATCAGCTGGAGCCAAGAGAGAGCCGAAACACTGAGGAAAAGCCACAGGAGAATGCGGAGAGCAAGCTGGAGGGTGAGCGTGCGTCCCCG